GAAAACACGGAAAACCAGAGGGGCTGTTGAACCCTATTAATAAAGGTGATGCACCCTTAAACACATACCATGTGGATCATCTTGGGCCTATGACGGCAACAAAGAAGAGATATCAGCATCTGTTTGTAGTGGTTGATTTATTCACTAAATTTGTGTGGCTTTACCCAACAAAGTCAACATATGCAGCAGAGATCATTGACCGACTTAAGAAACAGTCATCTGTATTTGGTAACCCAAAGAAAATTATATCTGACAGAGGACTAGCATTTACGGCACGTGCTGTTAAATATTATCGAAGAAAACATTGACCACGTGTTAATAGTGACAGGCGTACCCAGGGGTAATGGTCAGGTAGAAAGGGTCAACCGTACTATAATACCTCTTCTTACTACTATAAATTGATACAAAGACGTTGAATATGTGCAACTATATTTAAATTACATTTCAAGTCGCAGTACTGGGAAAGCTCCATTTCACCTATTATTTGGAGTAAATATACGTATAAAAGACGACCTGCGAATCCGCGAGTTAGTGGAAGAAGAATGGGTAACCAGATTTGAGGAACATCGTGACGAACTAAGAGGCAGAGAAGCAGAAAATAGCCAAAACGCAGGAGAACCAAAGGGGTTACAACCGGAGGCGAAAGGCAGTGACTAAGTACAAGGAAGGTGACCTGGTGGCAATCAAACGGACGTAGTTCATGCCTGGGTCAAAGCTGCGCAGCAAATTCCTAGGACCGTACAAGATTAATTGCGTTATGCGACCTGATCGCTATACGGTCATAAAAGTTGGCGAACACGGACCAGGGGAAACATCTTGTTCGGCGGATAATATGAAGCCATGGGCCAACTACGATGAGGTTGTCCTAACCAGCGGCGAAGAAGCCGAGGCCAACCTCTGAGGACAGAGGTCATTTCAGGATGGCCGAATGTAGCATCGGAATTTTCCTAGACTCTGTGGGAATGTTTGGATTTAAAGACTTTTGTTTATGTAGATTAAATTAGGCGTTAAGTCTTTAAGTTCCGTAAGTTGTTTTTGAACAACCACAAGGGTCTAGGACTGATAATATGTGTGTGAAAGTGTAGATAACGTAAAAGTTCGTTAAAGACTAAAATATATGCGTGCACGCGTGGGAATGTGAAGTAACCTTAAAGATTTGTAATAGTACCACAGATTTAACGTGACCGTCGGTGTATTAAGACGTTTTATATATGTTACGGCTAATGTGCAAACTTGGATAGTTTATAAACTAGCTGGATAGTTTATAAACTAGCCAAACTGTCAGCTATTTTAATTGAAAACATATTTTCAACTAAATTAGCGGCTAGTTTACAAAATAACCAAGGATCTTGGCTAATTTACTTGAAATTATTAGGGAAACTAAAATAGCTGGATAGTTTGTATACTATCCAATTCAATTTGGCTAATATGAAAACCAAAATTTCTAGTAACACAAAATAGCCAAGCTCTGGCTAATTTCGTATAACGTCACAATTTTGACTTTTGCGGGATTTTATGAAAATTAATATTTTTTTTACAATTGTATTGCATATTTTCGCAATTTTTGCCAATTTTTGTTGGGTTTGCTCATATATTAGTTGGGTTTTCCTCTCATTTTTGCCCATTTTAGTTGGTTTTTTTGCTCAATGGGGCGGGGGGGGGGTCCCAATGGGGCGTTGTGTTGTTGAGTTTGGGTTGGTTTCTCTCATTTTTGACCATTTGACCAATGGGGCGGGGGGGCCAATGGGGCGGGGTTGGTAGGGTTTTGTTTTTGAGTTTTCTAACAAGCGTTAATATTTTGCCTATGATTCATTTTAAAAACGTTAAAATGCACAAAACAAATCCGGTTAAGCCGGCAAAACGAAAAACAATGCCGTAACCTCACTTTTTTAATAAATTAGCCCGAGAATTAGTTGGTTAGTTTACAAACTAGCTAAAGCTTGGCTATTTTGTGTTACTAGAAATTTTGGTTTTCATATTAGCCAAATTGAATTGGATAGTATACAAACTATCCAGCTATTTTAGTTTTTCTAATAATTTCAAGTAAATTAGCCAAGATCCTTGGTTATTTTGTAAACTAGCCGCTAATTTAGTTGAAAATACATTTTCAATTAAAATAGCTGACAGTTTGGCTAGTTTATAAACTATCCAGCTAGTTTATAAACTATTCAAGTTGCACATTAGCCGTAACATATATACCTTTAGTTTTATTTGTTGTTTAACTTTATATTTTTAATAAACGACTATTTTTAATTTAAAGTTTACGGTGTTCTTATTCTTAAAAATAATCTAGCAACTAAATCCCTAGATCAATTTTGTTAGCAAATTAAAAATTTTAAAACTACTCAAACTACTTTTATTGTATAATATTAACATTGCATTGCCAAAATATTTTTTTAGTAATATTTAAATTTTACATTTTATTTTTTAATTACCAATTTAAGCTTTGTTGGTGCGCATAGATTGTTATTGTGGTTGAAATCTATAATTGCACCCAGCAGATTTGTCAAATTACATCCCACTAGTTCACTGCAGTGCACTGTTTGATTAATATTTGTAAATCTAATTGGCTCTATTGACTAGTATTAGCCACTTAATCCAGATTGTACTAAGGTAAAGGTAAGGGGGGAAATCATAATAAATATCTGCTTTTTTATAAAAAAAACTTATTTAAAAACTACACTATTAAATACAATTTTTAAAAGGTATAAAATTAAATATATTTAAAATACCTTCATGAACTAATATAATTTGAACTGCTGATATAAATCATATGCCCAAAATGTAACAACGTTAAAGCGTTTTAAATTAATTAATTATTTCATTGTGCATATTTATTAGTTATTTTAAAATATTTATTAATTGTAATTATTTATATAAAACTCTTAATGCACGTATAATAAAAATGAATCCTAACCTTAAATAAAATTTCATACCTACTCTTTATTTTTGTTGTTGTTTCTGTCTGTCATACTTTCCTAGTATTTTTGTGGTAATTTTAATTTTGCACGTTGTCATTTCGAAATCACTACATGCGTAGAAGACACATTTACAACGTTTTTGTTTTGTTTTTCAGTTAGTTTTGTAACTACTATAGAATTGTATAATAGTATAAGTATACTTTTCAGTCTAGGAATAGTTGCCAAACAACACAAGTAGGATAAATATATGAGTTTGGGAATCATAACTAAACACAAAAGCGCTCCCTCCTAAAATTTAAAAGCTGTCCCCAAGTTTCTGGATTTTTTAGCAACCATTCCAACAGTTATCTTCGGGTACTTACAAAATTAATTAGGTTGCTTAATAATTAATTAATTAATTAATTGATCAATTAATCCTCTCTTCCTATCTTTTATATTATTATTCGACAAAATCGCCTAATCCTACCAACAATGATGGTATCGTCCTTGCTATCGCCAGATAGTAAAATATTTCATTTATTTCTGAGAAACAATGCTCAGAAGCCCTTTCAATTCTGACGACTTGTTATAACGATATACACAATTTCTATATTTAATACTGTAATGTCGTCTTAATTAATTATTGTATATTTTGGCTTCAAAGCTTAATTTTAAGATAAAAGCTGTAGTTTAGTACCGCAACGTCATCAGCTATGCATTACCCACCGTTCTCAAGCGATGACGTTGCGGTTTCAAAATTACAGCATTCGAACTCTTACTGTGCTCGTGCTTGTGTTTGACCTTCGAATTTCTTAAAAAATTAAAAAAAAAATCGCTGAAGATTATAGCAAATACATTGTCCGACGATATCGTCTACAAGAAAAGTGTCGGTTGACGAGTATCGTCATTTTTTTCGCTATTGTCATTGTTGTTGTGAAAATATTATAATACGAAAATTAATGTAAAAACATACAAATTTTATAAATTAAAATTTGCTTGTTGGTTTTCCAATTAAATGCTGGTTTGGACTGTAAATTAAAGTCTGCAGACTGTGTTATTTTAAATTATAAATGCAACTAAAAATGGACTACTCTAACAATTGTTATTGTAACGCATAATTTTAAATATATTTAACTAATTTGCTGTACTTCTAAAAAAACAATTTTCGTTTTATCCTTTTAGATGGTTGACGTAAATTTTGTTATTTAATTCTAAATATTTTAGTTTTGTGGATTTATCTACAATCACATAACTTGTGTTTAGCTTAATAATTATAATTAAAAATAGGATTACAATTATAACAAATAGTATTTCATCATTTAGCAAATACACATTTTGTTCATTAAACAACAGGTTTTTTTGGATTTTTTTTATATTTTTAAAATATATATTTTTGAGCTGTTTTTTTATAATTTAACAATATTGGACGTCACTTTTTAAATATTATATTTTTATATTTTTACTCTTGTACCCCGATTAGTAATTACCAAAATCTTTATTAATCATGTGCAAATAAAAGTTAAATGGAAGTAACAAGGTTTCCGGGTTTTAAGACACACGGCTCATGGTACGGCTTAAAGTTTCGACAGCAATGTTGCTGCTTTCTTCAGAAAACTGAAACTAAAAAGGCTGAAAGCAGCTATTGTTACACTGTGTTATAACTGAATTTTGTAGTGTCCCAATTTACCCCCCTTAGAAATTTGATTCCAAAAAATCCTTGCTTAGCGATTATTCATGTCATTATATTTTAAGTCGATCAGTTTGGTCTGGGAGTTGATCAATCAGTAAGGACATGTAATTATATAAAGGGTGCGCCAAAAAACCTGCACACATTTCAAAGCTGAATTTCTCAGCAGTGGAGCAAGCTATAACTTCCTTTGTGGTCTCATTTGAAAGAAAAACTCAACAAGTTTTTTTGGTATAATTATCAACAATAAGTGTCTTTACATTTTTTAAAAGATGAATAATTTACGCGAACACAGATCATTCGTTATTGAACGGTTTTCAAAAAGAATGAATTTATGACTTTAACCCAGCGCCAGTTTACAACACGTTTCAATTTGGTTTCGCCCCATAGAAACACCATTTTGTGATGGTTAAATGGATTTAAAAGAACTGGATATCAGCTTCAAAGGCCAAACCTACAGGTCAACGAGTGTCAACAAGCTGCAATTAATGTTTAAGAAGCCCGAAACGGTCAGTCAAGCGACATTCGCAAGATCTTTGCAGCTTGTGCAAGAATTGACTGAAGGTGTTTTTGCATCAAGGTTGTTTTTTGTGAAAATGTTCTTCAATGTTTAAACAACGCACCAAACCTTATTCATAATGTGTTGATGTCAGACGAGGCCCATTTTCACCTGTCGGTATATGTGAATAAGCAGAATTGTCGCTATTGGTCTCTAGAGAATCCTAAAGAAATCCATCCTATTCCTCTGCAAACCCAAAAAGTGACTGTTTGGTGCGCAGTATCCGTGCGAGGAATAATTGAACCTTATTTTTTTGAGGATAAAAACGGCAATAATGTCACCGTTAATGCAGATTGCTATGTGCACATTTCACAGACATTTTTTTACCCAGAAATGGTGACACAATGTGGTTTCAACAGGACGGGGCGACTTGTCAAACGGCCAGAATATCCCTAGACTTTGGGGACACTTGAAAAGTAGGTTGAATACGAATAACCCTGGAAGCCCTGAATGAGAACATCCGAAAACAAATAAGAACCATTCCGCTGGAAATGTAGCAAAACGTAATGGGAAATGTCTAGCCTCGGTTGGAAGAAGGTGTGAGAAGAAACGGCCATCATTTAATCGACGTTATCTTCAAAACATGAACAGCTTTACGTGTTAATCATTACTCCTTAATTCGCTTTTTTCCACCTTTTTCATTAGGGGCATTTTCTTTGTCACATCATGTAAATTTTTTGTTGTAAAATATCGTTACAAAACTTTTTGAATTTTTCTTTCAAATTAGACCACGGAGATTCTAGCTTGTTCCACTACTGAGAAATTTCGCTTCGAAGTGTGTTGCGTTTGTTATGGCATACCCTGTATGTATAGAAGATATATCAACATTATGTTATTTAGTTACAATTATAGTGTTACTTAATGTAATTTTTTGTTGCAGTACTGGCCAACACGATGGATCGGCGGCGCATCGTTGACACTCGTACTGGTCGTGTGGTTCGGCGTGTGTTGTGCGGCCGTGGCGGGCAGCGTTCTAGGCGACGGCGACGGCAACGTGCTCCACATCGGCGGAATCTTCCCGATAGCGGGCGAGGGCGGCTGGCAGGGCGGACAGGCCTGCATGCCGGCGGCCAACCTTGCGCTCGAGGACGTCAATGCCCGCAAGGACCTGCTGCCCGGATACGTGCTCAAGCTGCACAGCAACGATAGCGAGGTAACTTTTGCCCTTTTAAAACCGTTTTAACGGGGAATCCTACAAAATTACTATCCTTTGAACATTTAGGTATTTTCTTTTTCTTATATAACGTACAAGTTAATGCCACTTTTATGTTAATTAAAGTTTTCTAACAAAACTAAAATTATGCAAACCTTGTAAAGAATTAAGAGTTAAGAATGCGTAGCAAAATATTTTGTGCAAAATTAATTAGGTGTACAAAAATAAATATTTATTAGATATATGGTTTTAAAAAAAGCAAATTTACCCAACATGCCATGGTGTTCTCAAGAAAGATAATATTATATATAAATCGGTAAACAAAAGTCAGCCGGCCATATGTATCTTTCTAGACCTAGTAAAAGCGTTTGACATGAGAAACTTTGAAGTAAGTTATCAGATATTGAGAGTAAAGGTTAAAATCGTCAACTATATGAGCACCCCTCAAACGACAACTTATGGCGTGCCACAAGGTACTATCCTAGGTCCATTATTAATTTTATTATATATAAACAACCTATTCAGAATAAGAAGTCACTGTGATAAGCTTTGCATATAAAACTATTATTTTTATGAGGGATCATAACAAGTAAGACATTCAATTGAATAAGATTTTGTTTTAATTAAGAATTGGTTTGACAGTAATTTACTCAGACTAAATATTGAGAAAACTTACTTTATGCCCTTTGGATCATATACAAATGGAAAAAATTGTAACAAGTAAAATTACACCGTTGTTTAAAAATATCTTGATTAACGAACAGCATGGATTTAGCGAAGGAAAGTCTACATTAACGATCCTTCTACTTTACGAGCAAGATTTGCTAAGTGCCTTAGAAGATCGTAAACAGGTGGATACTAATTACACCGATTTTTCTAAGGCATTTGACACTGTAAACCATGAAATTCTTTTAGCAAAAATTAAGGCATTAGGTGTTACAGGAAATTTTTATCTATGGCTAAAAAGTTACTTACATTCTAGAATTCAAACTGTTATAGTTTAGAATCAGTATAAGTCTAGAACAATTAGGGTTACCTCTGGTGTCCCACAGGGTGGGCATATTTCTTCCCTGCTATTCAATTTATTTATTAATGATATAGGCTGTGATATTAAATATTGCAAATTTTTATTATTTGTAGACGATCAAAAATTATATAAAGAAATTAGGTCTTTTAAGGATTGCTGTGATATTCAGTTAGATCTTAATCAAATACAATTGTGGTGTGAAAAAAATGTTATGAACTTAAATGTCAATAAGTGTTAATATATTAGTTTTTATAGAATTCAAAAAAAATATTTCCTTTCCGTACTCTTTAAGTAATATTTTTTTTAGAAAGAGTCACTAATATAAAAGATTTAGGTGTTTATTTTGATAGTAAACTAACATTCTCCTATCACATTAATTTTATTGTTAATAAATCCAGTGGCGGATTTACAAATTTTCAAGGTATAGGCTGAATAGTTTGTGCCGCCCTTGCCTCAACAATTGTCATATCATACATTATTTTTACAATGCAACAATTTCGTTGAAATTGCACGTAAAATAATTTTTCGGTATATTTTTGAGCTAATCGAAGCTCAATCAATGTATACTAGGTTGCCTAATTTTGTGATTTTTAACATGCGCGAATAAAGATCAAACAGACCTTGTTGTGTGGATTGTGAGGTAACCCATACGGTTATTGGAATAGAGAAAGAAGCTCGCCACGTGCACGTGCAACATTGACGTCATTGATAACATTGTAGCATTAAAAAAATACCGCGTTCAGGGAAAAATATTTTTTTTGACTTAAGACTATCTCGCTATTACTGTTCAAAATTTTTTTTGAATTCCAATCGAATTTTCTGAAGCTACTAGTGCATGTGAAACACATAATAGTCGATACATAAAATTTAAATCGGTAAAATTATTCACTAAATTATTCATTATATTCGAATAAAAATCGAAAAATTATATACAAACCATCCAGTTCGTAGCCTTCAACCAGTAGTAAGACTGGCATGTATGGGTTGTTAGTGGGAAGAGGGACATATTTTTTACAATTTCGCTCTTTTCACTCATAAGAAGTGTGGGCAAAGGGCGCAGAGGCGAGAGGCCGATTACTGGTTGAGGGGCGGCGAACTAGCTGTTTTACTCTAGAATATGGAAGTTTGCTACTCTCGGAATGTGCAATGACAAGTGAGAGAGAAAAGTCATCGACAAAATTTGTTGCAGACTTCTATCTGTAAGACATCAGAAAACCGTCATAAAAAAATCTTTTTGATTTCTATGAGGTAAAAAAAAATCGTTCCCCAAATTTGCCGCCCCCAAAATCTGCCGCCCTAGGCTCGAGCCTACTCAGCCTGCTGGTAAATCCGCCACTGAATAAATCATTAAAGATGTTGGGATTTGTCAAACGAAGTCTTAAAGATTTTAATAATGTTCAATGCTTAAAAAATGATTATATGTCCTTCGTGCGCAGTATCTTAGAGTATTGTTGTATTGTTTGGTCACCTTTTTATGTTAACCATAATATTAAACTAGAAAGAGTACAAAATTAATTTTTGCGATATTGCGCATACAAACTAAACATTGAATGTATTTATTTATTTATTAGATTTAGTTAGAAGTGTTGCCAATTTAGATAAACTAAGTAAGAGAAGAACTGAATTTGGAATTGTATTTTTATATAAACTTTTGAATAATTTTATTAATTGCCCAGAATTGTAAGAGCAAATAAATTTTAATGTTTCTTTAAAAAATACAAGGCAACATCATTTATTTCATATAAAGACCCATAGGACCACTTATAGTAAATTTATGCCTTTAAGTAGAATCTGTTCTGAAGCAAACGATTTAAATTTAGATTTTTTAGATTGTTCCCTAACTGTCTTTAAAAGAAATTTAAAAGTATTTAAATGCTAACCAACTAATTTAGGTATACAATGCCAATGCGATTCCCAGTTGCGTTATGGCAATCTGGGTTGGGGTGGAGTTTATAAAGATTTCTGGAAGACCTGGAAGTAACGCAAAAATATATTTTAAAGTTTATATATAAAATGAATAAACCTACTTCTTAGATACACAAGGTGTCCCTAAACTTAGTGGCATAAATTTAGTAGCAGATTAAGCGTCAAAATAAGACGAAAATCTAAATAAATATGTTTCCTAATTACGTATGTTTAAAAGATACAGGGTGATAAAGTGTTACTTATCATATCAGTTTTTTAATATAACTTCCACCATGGTAGACTTCGAAAGGTGATATTTTGCGAACAGTCATTTACTAGCAAAACACATATTCACATATAATTATAATTGTTCGAGGTAACACAGTGTCGTAGAAACAGGGGTTGCTTAAGCTTATTGTCCCATACAAACTTTGAGGTTAGGTTTTTATACCATTTGATGTAATTTTTCGATTACTCAGTTCGGCTACTATTAAAAAGGTGTACCTCTGAAACCTAGATAAAATAAACCTTTTCCGAGATATTTGAGATTACAATAATTGTTATATCGCATTAAAGGACTAAAAGGTTTATGATAACAAATTTTTTAATTAAAAAATCTACAATTTTTTTTAATGTGACGGCCAGGGCAAAAAATCCCGAGGCTCATGGAATGCCCTTTTTAGTTTTTTCAATTAAAAAATAAAATTTGTTATCATATACCTTTTAATCCTTTTAAAAATGCGATGTAACAATTATTGTAATCTTGAATATCTCGGAAACGGTTTATTTTATCGGTTTGAGAGGTAAACCTTTTTAATGGTAGCCGAACTGTGTATTCGAAATATTGCATGTTAAATGTTAAAAAAAACCTAACCTCAAAGTTTGTATGGGACAATAAGCTTAAAGCAACCCCCGTTTCTACGACACTGTGTTCACTCAAACAATTGTAATTATGTGTGAATATGTGTTTTGGTAGTAAGTGACTTCCCAAAATATCACCTTTCCAAGACTCCATAGTAGAAGTTATATTAAAAAAACTGATATGATAAGTAACACTTTATCACCCTGTATCTGGGAAACCTAAGTAATTAGGAAAAATATTTATTTAGGTTTTCGTCTTATTTTTACTTGCTCAATCTTTTTCTTAACTTATGCCCAGAAGTTTAGGGACAACTATATTGCTGACCATTATATTCCCTGACCTTTCTGATTCATAATATGATATGTTATTTTATAATATGGTATGATATTATTTAATATGATATGATATTATATAACATGATATGATGTTATATACACTCTACAAGAAAAGAATTTAAAATTGCAAACACAAGACAACAGACTCCGTTACAAGTCCTAAAAATAAAAAAAAACATTGTCCAAAGATGTAAATATTTGGGCTCAAAAATGTACAATCTTTTACCGAAAAATAAACAAGCCAAAGCAAAAAAATACTTTAGTTCATTTCTGTGTATTTTATTATACAGAGTGGGCCATCGAAAACAGTCCAGCAAGGTTTACGGCTTTGTATTAAAAAAAAATCTTTAGGGGAAATATTTACACATTAATTTCATCACTGTAACTTCAACCCCTTAGCGGGCGCGGGCGGGACCTATTTTTTCAAAGGGAAGTTGTAAGTTAAAAGGGCATTACATTTTTTTCTAATGACGCTTCGTTTTTTAAATTTGAGCTACACGTGGTTGAGCAATGGAATTTCGTAAAGCAAAATATTAGTTAAACATTCAATTTTCTTAGTTTCTTTAAGAAACTTTCTTGACCCATTACTGGTAATATTCATAAGAAAGTTTCTTAAAGAAACTAAGAAAATTGAATGTTTACCTTAATGTTTAGCCCGGTTGGGTTAATTCTAGATTCCTTTAGGCCATATTAATATCTGTAATACAATTGCTGTGTGCAGTCCCGGTTGCATAGTATGTACCGATTGCGGCAAAGGCCACGTCGTTTGACGGTGTGGATCACCTGATGTTCTTACATCTCGCCTCTGTTGGCTTACCAATCGAGCATATAAGCTCAGGGAGTCCTTTGTTTTGATTGTGTTCCACTACAC